GATCTTTTCAATTGCGACCTGTGTCTGAACGGCAGGATTCACCCGACCTGAACGCCATTAGTAAACGATTCTGCTTCTTGCTACACAGAAGCGGCAAGAAAAACAAACACCATGGCAGACGATGATGCGGAGAGCAGTATTTATGTTTAACCATCTTGAAAAGATTGAGGTTTTAAGGTTTGGAAATATCGGTAGATGCGCTCAAGCACTACCATCCATGTTTACTTCTGTAAACACGAAACACGCTGGCTTGTGACATCATCGCGTCCTCTACTGTGCATGCGGGAAGACTGCATTGTATGACTGCAGTTCACACAGGAGATCACATACAAGTCGCATATATTTGGAAATGTGAACAGCAACACAAAAAAATCGGATTCCACAAAAAAATTGGAATTGAGCATCAAGGCCTGCAGTGTGAATGTAGCCAAAGACCCCCTTTGTCAAAAGCTACGTTCAAACTGCAGCCTGAAGTGACCCAAATCCAATTTTTTTGCCCACATGCGACTTGAATCTGATCTTTTCATGGTAGTCTGAACAATACAGATCTGTTTTTTTCCCAATCCAATCCATGTACTGCAGCATTTTTGTTTTCTAATAGTGTGTTTATTTTCTAATAGCATGCAGTGTTTTGGATAGATTTTAGTTTTTTGTAATCTTGAATTATTAGAATAAAGACATCATTTTTTTTTTTTACTTGCAGTCATTTGTGCTTCATACATGAATGATTTATCACTCAGGCAAGATCCAGCCTCCTTATGGTGACAGTTGAATAAACAGAGATAAATAGTTCTTTGATTGATAATTAATAGCTCTGCTGATAACCAAGCCTAAGTAACTAAATTGGTGGGAATAACTGGATTTTAACAGCCGGTCCAGAAGCCACCTGGATGTGAAAGGCCCAAAATCCTGGTGAGCAGATTAGTTATAGTTATTCATCTAAGAACACCAACTTGATTTTACCTCCGATTTTGAATAAGTTAAATAATTAACTACAACTCCAGTTCTAGTTATTCATTTATTCAGTCACAGGATATATTATTTCACAACACTGCTCTATCAGGGTGAAGACATGAGAAGAAAGAGGTGTGAACAATCAGGATGTAAGTTTAAAGATTAAGCTGGTGTTTGAAGACAAAGAAAGACTTTGTTCTTCTCTGTTCTCTGTTGATAACAGTTGACAGTTTCTTCCTGAATTTCCTGGTTCTGCTGCTGCAGGAGCTTTCAGGTATACTTGGACCTCTAAACCAGATGATGGTTCCTGTGAAGTATGAGATTATTTTACACCAATGTTTTTCAGTAAATAATATTTTATAAACCAACCAATGTACCTGCTCAATTTCAACAACCCCAGAATTCTAAACATTAGAAACTCTTCACTGAAACAAAGAAAATTGAGATGAAAATCAAAAGATGCTCTTTAATTTTCTCTTGTTTCTCACAGCAAACTGAACGACTCGGTCCAATGACTTCATGTTCTGATCTCTGGATCATCAAACTCATCCTGCAGGAAGTTGTTCTGTTCAACATGAAAAAGTCCACAAACCAGATATGGTTCTAAACTGCTTTTCCTCCTGGATCATCAGCAAATATGTGACACTGAGATCAGGATTGATTTACAGTTGACTGGACAGTAATTGATGCAAATGTTCTGATTCATCTCTGAGAGTTTACTAATGATTCTTTCAATAAAAGCAGTGAGAAAACAGCCAAGGCAAGGTCATTTTATTTCATTTCTATTGAACATTTTAGAAACAAAACAATTCAAAGTGCTTTACATGAATTGCAGGAGACATAAATGGTTATGTGGTGTATGGTGTGTCTCGGAGGTGGAGACTCAAAGGGAGGTGGGTGTGCACCAAGGAAGTATGTATGTATAGGTGCGCACTCACCTGTCTCAGTGATGAGAGTAAGGATGGGGCTGCCGTAATTTTGTTTGACCGCTTCATTTCAATACGCTTCATCTTATTTTGTTTCAGTATTAATTTGTTTTCCTATATTAATTAACGGATCTATCTTTGTTTGCTACAATCATCCCTGCTGCGTTGCTATAACTCGTGATGATGCTAATAAACAAAACAAAAGCATCCTGGATTCCAGCGTATCTGTAACAATAAACGTTTAAGCTCCTCACAAATAGGGCAATAAACGAAGACCTGACCCAACTCTCAGTGGCTGAAAGGATTTGTTTGGAAGCCACAATATGAATAAATCATAACAAAATGGAAACACATGGAATTTAAAAAATAAAGAAGGGTTGGAAACTTAACATAGAAACTAAAATTGACAATATCTCAATTATCACTTTAAATCAAGTTAGAGACTCTAAATAAACAGGTTTTTAACCTTGATTTAGAGGAACTAATTTTTTTTTGCCATTTGCAGTTTTCTGCAAATATTAAACACTTTTGTTTATTGTGTGAATTTAAAGATCTGATTTTAGCAATGTTTAGATTGACATTGTTCTCACTCAGTTCATATTTAACTTAGATTTCAATGATCAGGTTGATGCAAAAACAATGAAAGTGGCTTTAGTTTTCCATTAACAACTCAAAACTACAACCAAACTATAGAAAAAGCATACAGGCTTAAAGGGCAGGATAAAATTAAAAATATAAAACAATTTGCAAGTGTGATTATAAGGGGAAAAAAAGAGTAATGTGGCTTAATATGGAGCAAAGGTTAATGGATTTTTTAAAGGTCTCTGTCTTCATATATTAACTGTAAAATATATGCTGAGTTTTTTGTGGTAAATATCCATTTTAGCTAAGTTTAAGTTTAGCTAAGTTTAAGTTTATTTTTCAATGAGAAAAAGGGAACAAAATAAATTGCTTATGAAGGTTCTCAGTCATCCAAGTCATAGTCATTCCGTAAAAATTCAAAAAATATCCAAGTCCAGAAACCAAGTCCAGTGGATATTTTTTTTTTTTACGGAACAAAATAAATTGTTTATTAATCTACACAGAACAAAATTGAGTAAAAAAAAAGATATTTCCTCATATTGACTTTTAAATTGATCATTCTACTTTTTATGCAATTGGAAATTAAAGAAGAAACATTTTTTAAAAATCTGAAGAGCAATGATTCTTTAACAGGTTCACAGGTTCACATTCCTTCATTTTATTAATATTAATATATTTGTTTACTGTAAGTTGAAATGTTAAAGAGTGGTTAAGAATAGTGATAAAGAAATAATTCAAGTTAGTCTTTAGCAATAGAAAGTTCGCCATTTAGCTGTGAAAGATGCTGAAACAGCACCACCTGCTGGACTAAAACTGAGAAGACGGATTGTTTTATTGAAACTTGACTAACAGGATAAAGAAACTGAAAGTATTTTCAGACGTTATTGAACTGAGTTGAGACGCCATTACTGGGTGTTAGATCTCTGCTGGAAAACGAGAGAAATATTTAAGGGTTTTAAGGAGAAGCAGAAACTTTGGTGAGTCCTGCTGTTGAAATAATTCATTGAGAATGGCAGAGAGAGTTTTTGAAAGTTTCCTGAGCTGCCATGTGTGTTCAGAGACTTTCAGAGATCCTGTGTCTCTGAGCTGCAACCACAGCTTCTGTTCAAGCTGCTTGAAGAAATTCTGGGAACAAACTGGAAACAAGAACTGTCCCATCTGTAAAAGAAGATCTTCTAAGGATGATCTGCTAGTGAATTTTGGACTGAAGGAAGTGGCTGATACTTTTGCTGGAAGACCGAAATCTGGATCATCTGAGACAGAAAGAGGAGAAAAGCAGCTGATGGTGGTCTGCAGTAAACACCAAGAAGACCCTAAACTGTTCTGTAAAGACGAGCAGAGAGCTGTGTGTCCTGTCTGTGAGTTTTCTCTCCACCAGAGTCACAAAGTGGTTCCTATAGAACAAGCAGTCAGT